GAAAGATGAGATGAGTCACAGTGTGATCTTCTGTCCTCAAGTTTGCACATACACCCACTCTTGCCTTTTTAATGTATATAGGTTATTGGCTGAAAAATGCAGTCACAGATGCAACGGCATAAACACGGTTTCTTCCAAGAATTGTTGACGCTATGACATCAATAATGTTTAGAGCCCTGCAGTTCAAGACACATTTGTGAGCCGGTCAAGAGAGCACAACGGCGATGGTTTGGTCACGTGATTACAAACAAAAGAAAACACTCTCAAAGCCCAATATTTTGGAAAATCCAGAGGAAAAATAGCACAGGTGTCAGCTGCAGAGTATACTGTTCGACTATAGAGAAAACCTGGGCATAGTAGTACCTTTGAGCGCATATCCCTGAGCTTGTCCGTTTGAGGGAGGACAGAGGTCTTTGGACGAGCCTCTAAAGCGACTGCGCCCGCGACTTGATAATGTCAAAAGGCTTGGAGTACGAATGAATGAATATGTATGGTCATTGGGAAAACGTTAGAAATACTGTGCTATGCATGAATCTGAAATATTGACATGTCATAATCATCCTGAATTTTGTCAGTATAGCTTCGACTTTACACTTTGTAGGTCAGCCATCAATGAAACTGAATTAATGCAGTAGCGCTCATGTGCTGAACAGCAGTTATGCGAGTGAACTGTAACTAATCGAATTAAAGCAACAGTTCCCGCCATTATCTCCCCCATTTTGATACTTCATAACTGTTGAGTTCTGGAACTATATTTAATATTTAATTTTCCATGCGATTCCAGTAGATATCTGGAAAATGGTTTACTTAGGTTTTGTCGGTCATTTACTTTTTGTGTTTCATCCGAGCGATTCATGTCTCGAAGCACCCGCTTTTGTCTCATGCTTCGAGTGGTCGTTTTAAAGAGGTTCCACTGCATATGTGTAACTCACAAGTGGACATTTCTTTTGAAAGCAGTGAGGTTTGGAATTATAGTACATTACATTTAGGTGATAATTGATTTCGGTTGCGATTGATCTCTTTGCCACACACTCAAACTGTCATTGGTACCTTGCATGATTCGTCAGCCGATGTTCAGTAAATAGATTCCTTTACTTCCTGTGTCGTCAGCCAAATGAAACGTCTTCGTCCACAAAACTTTGATGAGAGTTCAGTGCAGAATGGTTGCACGTCATAAAGGGGTCTCTATGAACCTAGCATGTGGATGGTTTGACATGCTGATGTCAACTGACGGAAGCAGTGATTCTTACTCTCAGGGTTGACTAGAGTTCGGTAGACTGGCAGTCGAAGCTAGAAGGTGACTTGAAAGATGCTCATTCGACAGGGAAGAACCAGCAATGCCTGCTCTGCAAAAAGATAAAACATGACGAAGGCATAACTTGCTTCCAGATCATTAATAATTTGTCGGTTTAGAGTTGCATCATAATCATCATCATCATCATGTCACCTTCATTAATAGCGCATGGTCGGCAACAACGAATTATGACCATTGGCAGTAGTGGAGTGCGATTATTTTGTAATCGATGAAGGAGTCTCTGCAAGTCAGTTCGTAGACATGGCCTCTATTCTGTCTCTGGATCGTAGCCACGGATGCTACAGCGGAACTCTGTAGCGAAGGTATGTGAGAAGGAATCTTTTCTAGCAGCCTCACCACACGGCCAAGCAGAGCAGTTCTTTATCGGCCGATTTGAGTTCATCATCGTTTATTAGGTACTCTTGCATATTTACATGCTTTGACACTTTTTGGCAGTAAAATAGAGAACGCAGCTGAAGGGGTAATGCGGAGTGTTGGCATGACAGAGTATTCCTTGGGCTGAAACACTCGAGATTATGTTTAACTAGGTAATCTTCTAAAAGGAAAATCGACAGAAAATGAACTCTTACAGCCTACTTATCGAGGAGGGATTATTGCCCATAACTACATAAAAGTTTCAGCGTGTCCGCTGCGGCTACAGTAGTTACCTTGTAATAAAATTTTCTCTGCTTGAACACAACGCAACAGAATGGCTTAATAGCTATAAAACTGATTCGGAGGTAACGATCTTGAATATTATTAATATCAACTAAGGAACGCAGTTGTTTCTAAGGATATTATTTAGTATGGACGTACCCTAAGGAGGCTTTTGGTGATAGATCTTTGAGGTCTAATACCCCATAAGATAGGAGATTAGTAGCTGTAGGGTTCATCGCCTTAAGATTACGCGTAGACAAGTCAAAGAAAAATCATTAGACGCAGTCTTCTGTAGTACTTTCCCTATAACTACCATTGTATCAGAGAGACGTTGTCAGCAAAAAGGTTCTAGTCTATCAACGAGTACAGTGAAACCATTGAACTGGCGCAAACCTACCGTAAGAATGCAGAAAAGTACTGTATAATCTGCTGAGCCAAGGTCGCCACATTTAGCTGGCTGAGAGATACATGTTTGGCATGAGAAAGTCAGCAGCGGACCATCCATTCATTATTCAGATCAGTGTTTGCACGACCCATGGTTCAGGGCAACAAATACAACAGATGGGACAACAGTTTATTGCCAACGTGTTTCGCTATATAGACCGTAGCATCATCAAGGCTAAGCTAGGCACAGATCACTATTACTACTACTAGGACCACGTTATTACTGTCATATTTCATCCGCAGATTTTCAGTAGGTGAAAAACAGATCTACTGCGATTCGTGCCATTTGGCTTGTTCGAAACGTTGTCTCGTGTTTGCGTAATAACTTGAGAACAGAACAGACTCGTAGTCACTTTGAAGAGATGCCCGTCACCTGAAGCTTCCAGATTTATATTGTTGCTAATACGTTTGAGATTCCAGTGGGTAGCCAGTCTCTAAACACAGGCTCGATCCCTGAGCTCGTCTAAAAATGCTTCTCCCAAGCGTGTGACCTGTGCGTCTGCTCGTCCTTTTTCCTCTTGCTCCGTCTTCTTTAGATGATCTTTTGCGCATAAGAATTATCTTGTAATAACAAACTTGGCTTTTAGCACAGCTACTAACAACACTTCAAAAAATGAGGGCAAAATTTCAGACAGACGCAGCAAAATTCAGACACAGCGCAGGCTTTATTAAACAGCGTTTCTCGTTGTTCATAGAGGGGTAAAAAAATCTAAAATTATTAACGCAATGTCATTAGATGTATATTTGTTCTCAACTAGTTTTTTCGACATGCACAAGAACGATTTAAACAAAAGTGGTTATGTCATATTGGCACATGTGCAATATACATATGCACCTCGGGCCATTCCAGTTGATAGAATGATACGAGGTGCATCTTTGCACTGGAGTTGCTCAAATACGATGGACTCATAGCTTGCCCAAATAGCCACCTAGGCAGCTAGAAGCAAGATAGTTGTGCCATATGTCGCTAATATCGATTTGGAAAAATTATGCAATTATTAACCTAGTTTACTGCAGTCGGCCTATGATCATATGTTTTTTATCTGTCCCAAGAGAAAAACGATATTATTGTACGCTTTATAAATAATTTCTACATTTCTTTCTTTTTACATCAATGACTCTTCTCATTTCAGTGTTCCGCATTTGAAGCCATCATGCGCTTAGGTTAGCATCTTCCAGTCCTACAGACATGATTCAGCTTATATTAATCAAAGCGAAACTCAGGTAAGCCTTCCTCGTTCAAGAAGCTCACACAAATTTTCATGTCATAATACATAAGCAAAACTTAGTGGCACACGAACATGTAATCATCTACAGTGCTGTTCAAAGAATGATGACAGTAATAAGGATATAACAGAATATCGTGCATGGATTCAGGCAAGCAGTCATAAACAGAGTAAATGAATTGTACAAACAGAAACCATTCAGAAAACGCAAAAGAGCTTGAGAAAAAAGATGAAATGGACTAAATGTCATGTAGCTTACCGTAAGAAGTGCAACATGCAATAAATCAGAAAAAAGATGAAGACGTTTATGACATCGCAATGTCATTCGTAGAATCGGGATGTACAAAACGTACCTGTACAATTCCGCTCGGATTCAGACGCTGTACGAAAGAAACTAAAATTCGAATTCCATGGATACTCACATCGGTGATTCCGTTACAGTTTATTAACCCGCATAGTAAAACTAAATAAAGAAAATATCATAACTGGTCGATCAGCTTACTGCGCATCAACTGGCGGTACTGAAAACAAAACCTTTGAAAAACCTGAGCTTTCTGTACAGCGATTCAGAAGCATACCTTGCATGATGGATAACAATTAGACAGGACGTCTAGCGATTCAGGCAAATAATGAATATGAACTTCTCGCCTGTTAGGTATTTGTCGACTTCGAGAAAACGTTCGATCCGATCTGAGGATCAAGGAGTCGAGAAAACATGCAGATACCTGATACCTGATCATCACCCTGATTTACAACAATGCAACGGCTGGTCTTAAACCCGTGAAAGCATTAGCAAGCTTAAAGTTGATAAAACGGTGATGCAACATCACTTAAGCTGTATGTTGGGAATAAGAAGAAGCGTGAAGTCAAACAAATCGGTAACGACAGAAGTTTACGATGTCATTGCCCGAATGAATAGGTTGAAATGACAATGAATGATTGTTCGTGATCACTCGTGTGAGTTCACGAATTCGAATTTCTAACGTTCTGAAAATCTTTCCAATTTAAATCCTTTAAGCAAAATATAGCCTATTCTATTCATTGTGACAACGGCAAACGAATTTATATTCGTAAGACTTTCTGAACATCAAAAGTTTGAATTAGTGAACTCAGACGAGCTATAGCGAACAATCAATGAGAACCCTCCGGCTTCGTTTTCCATATCTTGAAACATGATCATCATCATTTGGAAAAGAATGCCTGGGTGGTTGACCGAAGGTGATACTGCCAAGTTTGTGATCAAAGAATCGTTGCACATCGCAGTTAATAAGATCACGCTGTGCGATGGTTGCAAAACTTTTACTGACATCGCTAAAGTTAGAAGTTTACGGTATTAGCTGACTGAAACTACGTGAATTTCAAAATATACTGTAATATCTGCTGCTAGTTTTCTGCCTGCCCCAAAGAAAGCTACCGTTGTGTGGCTGAAACGTTGAGAACTGTGTAATAAAGGTTGTTAACGTCAGCCGTCGTTTTTTGCCAAAACCATAGTATCAAAATGAACTTTCGAAATCGTTTCTGTACATCCTTTTCGTCTTCTCTTTCATAGAGCAGAATCACTGATGCAATCCAACAGACTGGAATTTTCAGGTCTATTATAAGCGCTAATATTTTGCTCAGTAAGCGCCGTGATATTGTTGTCAATCTTCACTTCCTGATTCCACGAGTTTAACCGTACTGCCGTTTATGACATAAGCCCTTCCTCGCTTAGTTCTATTTTCCTAGGCGTTGCTACTTTCATTTTTGATGGAAATTTTCCACTCTCTTTGTAGCCTAATCATAAGAAAATATTAGGAAGATATTCAACCGAAAACCTAAGGGCTTCGAACTGGAACCTTCTCTAACCAATGCAAATCTTCTCCTTGTAGACGGAGACGGAGTGACAGTCGGCCGTTTTATCCTCTACTACTAGCGGCACAAAAGATTTTAAGTTGAACTGCTCCAAGTGGATAGCATGCTATATGTTCGTACCAGCCATTAACTTTGACGCTGAATCCAGTGCTCGAGATTTTCTCCCGCTAGTTTGAAAGATACATCGGCAGCGTCAGGCCTAAATGCTCCAGTGCTTGCGGCGTCTTCTGCAATTTGGCGTTTAGTGGCAGATTTCAGACCGCACCTGGCTACTGTACCCACGTAACCAGCATCATCGATGGTCGATCGCCGTTCGATTGCTGGACAACCATTGCCGAGAGTGCAGTTCGATAAGTAGAAATAGCTCGAACATCGCGATCTGTCTTGAAACCGGAAAAACCCTCCGACGTGATGCTTCGCCGGAAACCAGAACTGAGGTCAACCCTTTCGCACCAGCGTTGTCTGTATGTAAGGTTGTTTGTGAGGTTGTGAGGTCTGCGTTGCGCGACCACGAAGTGTCTCAATGTGCGGTACTCGTACTCGCGTGGTTGACTTCTAATAAAACTTGTCGAATCGATAGCGAGTATGATTCGGCGGCGGTGGCCGGCCAGCCGTTCGCGGTCGTTATAGATCCGCAGCGAGTGCTCTCTGCCAGGTCGAATTTATCCGCCGGGAAAGTAAATTTTATCCGATGGCGATCGTTCGCGTTCCGACGAAATTTATATACTGAGGAGACTCGCGTTTATCACGCGGTGCTTTGTGATCGGGACGATGACGACGACACGCCGATTGTGAGGCTAATGTTGAGGCTAATGCTGAAGCAAAAGTTTGCAATTCGCCGGAGACGTTCTTTAAGAATTGCGATGCAGTCGCGCCGCAACGACGAAGATCACGGCAGCCGTGAAAGGCCTAATTTGGTAAACCATGGGTTGGGAAGGAGTGACGGAAGCGCGGTAAAGAGCCGCCGTTTGGCCGGTCCACAAGCGTTACTAGTTACGTACTACCGCCTAGATCTGCCGTACCTCTTCGTCGACCACTCATCCAGCAAAAAGACAGTCAACAGCTATCTCCAGAATTTGTACTTCTTTGAAAATGAGTTAACTGAGTAAACGACCAACTCGCCGGTGGCTCAACCCTCGAACCTCTGACGCCAGTGTTGTATTCACCTCAAGGAGTACTAGTCATGAAGTTTCTCGAGAACTGTCCACGACTATTCATAATGAATGGTCCATTCAGCATTTACCGTCGTCTCGTTAGCCAGCCGTTTCATTGTTGATGGCAAGTTCTCGCGCTTAAGCAGTGCGCATCAGTGGTAGTTCATTCCGGCATGCAGTTATTATTTTAATAATTTCTCGCTCTTAACAAGTTTTTGCCGAAGTGTGACTTATTGGAAGCATTTTAGAGAGTTGAAGTTTAGGCTTCAAAATATCAAGTGCTTTCGTTGAAAAGTATTTGATTGAAATAAACAGTTTCTTAAATACAGAATGGATCACTGCATCAGTAGTAGTATAATATAAAAACAAGATAAAAATCAAAAGAACTACGGACCGATCCGCTTGTAGCCGGTCTTCGCGGAAATGATGGACTGACGAACAGACTCTTGGACATGCTAGACTCAATGCAACTAACGGAGTAAGCATAAATCACAAATAGGTTTAGATATGCGATATAGGTGATGATCAAATAATTTAGACAAGCAGCGAACATAAATTTCTCTTTGCTCGCCATTTGCTGATTTCCTTTACACTCTTGATTTAATCTACACGCCATCCGTACCATGTGCTTTGAG